GTCAAAATCGGTCATCATTTCATTACCCGAAAACTCTTTCTTCCTTCCCGGGTAAAGAGGAGCAGTTGTTGATACCCAATTTTTCCCTCATATATTTTTAAATATACATAAATACTTTCAAAATATTGTACATGCATTTACAAATATGCACAAGTATTTTTATAATTTTTCTATAATTTTTAAAGGCCTTAAATCAATTTATTTCTGCATTTTTAATTATATAAATATTCAATAATTATTCATCATATTACTTTACGATGATTTAATCATTTAAACTCATCATTCATGCTCATATAAGTGTTCAAATATTTTAATTGCATTTTCTACAATTATATTTGCATTTTAAGGGTATAATTGCATATTTTGCAATAATAGCCCATCCATGTACATAATTACATTACCTATATAGGAAATAAATTTTTATATTTTTATAATGATAAGTAACTATTTTAAATCATATTCATGTATAAAATCATTTTTATTACTTAATTAACTATTTCATAAATTATTTTATTAATAAATTGGGTATTTAACCAATAGCCCCTTTAATTATATCTAAATTCGGACCGTCNCCAAACCTTCTCTAATCGTGGTTGTTGATCTCTGAGATCAATGGTCCACTCCCTCTTTCCTTTTTTAACTCAAACGACCCCCCAAACCCTACCCATTCTTCAAAGACCTTCGCCCTTGGATCCCTCTTCTTCTCCGTTCTCTCTGAAATTATCCCTAAAACCTAGCCGCTGTCACCTGTAAAACTCCCCGTCCATGGGGTTTCTGTGTATTTCCCGGCCCTTGCCGGCCTGTTACATCTTCTGGTTGTTCGACTTCATTGATTTATGAGAGAATATCAAAGAGATTCAACCGAGCTTTGTCGAAATATGTCTCACAGGCCTGTCTTTGGCCATTCTCGTTTGTGAGTACTGTTCCTTGCCTATTTTTGGTTTGAATATATGGTTTTGGACCGAGTTTCTTTCATCTCTGCTATTTTCGAAAACCCTAGTCTTATAACTACTTGGGTCTATCCAGATCCTTGTAAATCTGAAAGGTTTTAAGTGCTATTTAATATTTTTTCCCAAAAATCTTATACTTTTGTTATTACTATTTCGATTTCAGTGCTTCTCTGAAATTAGGGTTTTCATCCCAAGTTTCTTCAAAAGGTTTTCTTTTTCATACTTTTAAGTGATTAATCTGGTTATTCTTTACTCGTTTGGTTAATTTTTGTGTATGTTCTTTAAACCCTAGGTCTTGCTCTGTTATGGCACTTATTTCTTCAATTTTCTTTCCGTTATTTATTTATTTCTGTCAACCCAATATACTGATTGATTTTATTAGGGTTTCGAATCATATTTTTCTATTAAAATCGGTGTTTTCTGTGATTACCTATTTCCTTATTTGTGACCTTGATTAGTTATACTTGCCTTAATTAAACTGTTAATATGGTTTGGGGATCTGATTGACTCCTATATGGTATGAGATTGATTTTTTGCCTTATTTGAACCCTAGTTCTGTACCATCAATTGATCCTCTCCAATTTAAGGGGTCTCTTTCGGATTTCTCTATAGGAATTGATTCCCTAATTGGCTGATTGATTTTATTTGATTACCCTTATTTTACGAACTGTGATTTCCTCTTTACCTTATTTGTTTTACCTCACTAAGTGCTATATATACTCTCATTACTGATTCTTCAAGACACGAACATAGTTAAAAAAAACACACACACACACACACAACTTTGCTCCCAAAACCTCTCTGCTACTTGTGTTCATTGCATTGCCTAGCCGGCTGAAAACCAAGGCTAGACCACTGAGTTCTGCATATCTTTCATCTTATATTTACCATCTTTAGCTGGTATGCCCCTATTCCTAATGTCGTTCATTATATTATGAAGCTTGAACCTATGTGCTCTCTTACCTGCTGCTTTACTTCTGTTGAATCCATATCTTTCTATATTTCGATTAGCATGTCTACTTCTGTGTTTAACTCTGTATCCTTCATGTTTATTACCTTAAATCAGCATGCTTACTTAGGCATTTAGACTTTTATCTTTACTGCCCATTGGCCTCAATTAGTATGACCACTTCTGTGGAATTAAATCCCTGCCCTTTGTATGAACTAGCATAACCACTCCTGCATTTAAGTTCTATGTTGTTTCTATATACTGTTTTAAGTCGACATGAGTCCTTCTAATCTATCTAGTGTTATGTAATCTGGCTCTTTAAACTTATGTGCTTACTGTCTATTGCTTCTAATTAACATCACTATGTCCTATTGAGTGTTATGGAATTAGGATTTCATAATATGTCAATTTGCTTGGTGTTAATCAGTATGCTTTTGTTTTTTATTGGATTCATGTGTCCTGGGTTAAGGATTTCTATGTCCCTAACCCTTGCTACCCCTTATCTGTATAGTTGTTCTCACGATGCTATATGCCCACCTAGTGATAACTAATGAACTAAGCTAAATCTAGGCAATATGAATCTTTGCTTTGTGACTGTGTTTCTGTTTGTCTGCTGAAACCATTGTTTTTTTAGAATGCTTCTAAACTGTTTTCACCTTTGAGTTGTTTTCACTTCTGAGTTGTTTTTACTTTTGAACTGTTTTCCTAAAACTATTTCTACTCTTTCAAGCATTATATTCCACTCCTACTCTTAGAACATCTAGGATCCTGCCCCTCCATTGTGAGCACTGTGAGTCCATGAGACTCCTACGAACTTTGACACACTGGGCTGGCCCTTCCACACTGCACAAAATTGTTTCTCTGTAAAAAGAGTCCTGGTGTGAGCATTACCCGGGCTCCCTGAGGCCCTTGGGAACTTTGACACACCAAGATACTCTCTTGGATACTATGAGATGTTGGGGCACTCTTCATACTTGGTTGAAGGCCTAATTTTCCAGGTTTACTTTTGGGCCCATTCAGGCTCCCTATAGTTTAGCAGTCTCATTTCTGTAATTCAGTCATTTTTGGTCTGCAATAACAATTCTTGTAAAACAGATATTGGGGATATTAGTAAAATGGGAGGGACATTTATATGTATTTTGTGGGTAAATCGGGTAGAAATCATGCTCCTAGGACTGTTATGATTATCTACCTGCATTAGAAACCATGTCTATAGGTTGTTGTGTGCATTAGAAAACATGTTTATAGGTTCATCATGTTATTTGATCTAAATTTCTATTTGTGCATGTTCACATCCACGCTAGAAATCCTGTCTCTAGGTTGTTGTTAATTCAGCCTTAACAATCATGTTCATAACTTCTCCTATGTGCATTAAAAACATGTTCTAGGACTTTTACTACACTCACCTAGATATTATACCTGCAGTAAAATCGCATAAAAATAGTTTCTTTAGTAGCAATCATGCCTATAAGAAATAAGTATAAAAGCAGTCCCAATACCTAGATATCGGGCTTATATATAAAACTAGTTCTGTAATGTTTGTGATTATTTTTAAGCATCTAGACAACATGCCTATAGGACCTAATGAACCAAACTGTCTGCTTAAAATTGTTTACTAGATTATTGCGGTTCTGATTAACGATTAGATATAATGTTTATAGGGCAAATCTGATCCACGCCTAGGCAAGTCAGTAGGACAACTAAATCTTGAAATTGTAAAACTATGCTTTGTTTAACTATTTGTGAACTGCCCAGATTCAGCAAGTCCTAAAATCAGTAGGCAAACTGATTAGGTGTCTTCTGCCTCGCATTAGTAAAAAACACTGTGTATGCTCTGCTTCGTGCTCACCTAGATATCCTGCTATAGGACTTTAAAGTGTCGGAAATACTGTTGTTTGAGACGTGCAATTGCCTGCTTATTTGTGGAGGTAAATGTGAGTCTTTAACTGTTCCTTTATCCGACAGTCCTATTTGTTTTGCTTGTCGCTTAGATTTTCTCCTTTTAAGCACTATAGGAGAGTCTAGATCCACCTTAACTAGAAGTCTTAAACACCTCCAGAAACATAAGTAAGGGACGGGTAATTCACGCATAGAGTACGTTCAATTAGAATCACTTATATAACAATTAAGGGGAGGGTAATCGGGTAGTAAAGGATATGATGACCTATGCGCTAATGCTATGTGTAGCACCCCACTTGGGGACGATACCAAGTATTGCACAGAGGTGATCCTATAGGCTAAAAAACCTAGGACCCCTTTTACCCTTGTTTTAAACGTAATATCTATTTGTCTAAATTGCTTTGTTTGCTTATAAGACTAATTCACCTAATTCAAGTTTGACCGATACCCACCGTTGTGGACCTCGAGGGGTGTCTAACACCTTTCCCTCAAGGTTATTTCGAGCCCTTACCCAATCTCTAGTAATGTAAATCAGTTTATGAGTTATTTGCTTTGGGTGCCCTAAGGCACCTTAAATCCGTTAGGTGGCGACTCTTCAAATTCCATACCCAATTCCCAAAAGGAAATGATTTGTCCTAAAGGAATGTCGAAATCCGAACTTCGCGAGGAAAAAGGGGGCACGACACTCGATTTCCCTTATTGAACTTAGAGTCTTGTGGATAACCATGGAGTTTGTAGCACCTATCCTTGGTTTGCCCTGGCTTCTTGCAATAATCACAGACTGGTCGTGGCCTATTTGTAGGGTAACTTCCTCTGAAGACATTGCCTCCAGTCCCACTTGACTGGTTATAGTTCGAGTAGGAGCTCGCTCCAGATCCATTTCCTTGTTGACCATAAGTTGTTCTGAAATTGTTGTTTGTTGCCCTGTTCACACTCAAGGCGCTAGAATCAATCATCAATTGATTGTTTGGTTTCATCTCCCTTTGTTTCTCCTCTTGGATGAGAATGGCAAATGCTTGTGCTAGGGAAGGTAAGGGGTTCATCATCAGAATGCTTCCCTTAACAACAGTGTAAACTTCATTTAATCCCATTAAAAACTGAATTAACCTCTGGTCCTGTTCAGCCTTATGCATACTCGCCTTGGCACCACATGTACACTGGCATTTGTATTGAGCATGAGCATTCAGGGTATTTAACTCTTCTCATAGCTTCTTCATCTTAGTGTAGTATCCCGTAATGTCGAGTGTTCCTTGGCTCAAATTATTGATTTCTTTTTGTCGCTGATATAGTTTTGCCCCATTAGTTTGATCATACCTGTCCTCCAATTCTTCCCAAAGCTCTTTGGCATCGTTCACATACTGCAGGCTATCTGCTAAGTCCTTCGATAGAAAGTTCAAAATCCACGAAGTCACTACATTATCACACTGTTCCCATTGATCAAAGGTAGGGTCTTTTGAGTCTGGTTTCCCACACTTACCATTTATGAAGCCTACTTTATTCTTCATAGAAAGAGCCCTAAGCACTCCTCGCCTCCATGATCTATACCCCGATCCATCAAAAACTACTAGTACAAGCATGGAACCTGCGTTTTCGGATGGATGCATGTAAAGCGGATTAGTTGAATCAAGCAGCGAATTGGTGGAATCCGATGTGTTTTCTTCAATCGCCATGATTTTAATCGACGTGTGTGTGCAGAAGAACCTCAATTATTGAATTTCAATCCCGATCTCAACTTTAGGGTTGATCTCAGATCTCAACTGAAACAATACTGAAATTAGATCTTTCTGGACCAAAGAGAACAAAATTGAGCTAGAGATTAGAACCTCTGGTCTGATACCATGACAAAATTGTAAAAGACAGAGATAAGATTGAGCTCAGACGAGCTCTAATGGAGGAAAATCAGTAAACCCAGTTAAGAGAGAAAGGAGAAGTGAGAAGCTTCGAGAAGTATAATTGGGAAAATGTAAATTGAATGTTTCATCTCACCGAGAATGTCCAAAGACCCTATATATACACATGACTTGTCTTGCTCACTCATTTGACAGCTGGCAACAACTGTTCACTAACTAACAACAACTAACAGCCATTAACATCTAATATCTACTAACAAAGCTAACTAACTGGAAAAGAACTAAGAGGAAAATAGGAAAAAAATAAATACAATGTGTAACTAATAACTAATCTCAATAGCTCCATATCATATTTTTCATCATTCGATAACCAAAAAACGAGTAAAATATAACTCTCGTCAAATGATATACACTAGCTAATCACCCATCAAATGCTACATCATAGGCACTGTTACACGACGCCTTCCTGATGTTCTTTGGAAGGGCAACGTAAGGCTAAGCAACCGATGTCAGTGCGGTTGTTGTCCGCCAATGAGGTCCCCTCCGCACGCTAAACTAGATTGTCAGTGCCGTGCGGGAAAACCAATGTCATGAGCAATTGCGGAAGCTGAGAGAGAATTGGGTTTTGAATGATGATGATGATTTTATTGATGAATGAAAATGCTGATCACAAAGATGCGGTGTCGAGGGGGAGAGACACCAGAAAATGCTTGCTTGAAAATGTTTGATTGTTTGGTCCCCCTTAATAATGCTTAAAAAAAATAAACCAACATTACATGACTAGTCCTAATAAAGCTGTAGAAGCACACTGAAATGAAAATGATGTAAACTAGCCTATNAGGGTCCTGGGGCATGTCTGGAAAGCAGCCCATGACAGCACATTGACTCCACTATATGACGACCAAACCTTTCTCCAACTATTATTAAACTTTGCACATTTTAACTTAATTTCTTCCTCATCAACCCTGCAAAGTCAAACAAAGGCGGTATTCAAATTGAAAGGGAATGAATGTCATGTTTGACTTCTTTCTGTTTTTAATAGAATAATAAATTAAAAGATTTGATGTTTTGTTCATATCCACATACATTTCATGCTCAGCCAATTCTATACGTGAATCCTATCAGTTGTATGGTTTATATTGTCATAACATGCATGCATTAGTTAAGCTGACGATCTTTATGAATAATTAAGTGCACAATTATATTATCTCTTGAAATCTCCTGGAGATTACCTAATGCTTTCGCAAATAATTACCATGATTTTGGCAATTCCCTTTCATCGTTATTCGTTTCTTTTTGTGGATTTTTTAATTAACACAAAATTGGTGAATTATTTTATCAGATAATTAAAGAGATATACTTTATACTGAAATAACTTTGGCAAATGCTTCAGAATTTTTTCTTCTTTCCAGTATGTCATCACATCGCACCGAAAGATGAAAATAGCCAGTTGCTGGCTTTTTCTGCATATGCAACCACACAAAAGTATATATCTTTGTTTGTAAAAAGGCATCGCTTTATATTTAATGAATTTCTTCGTGGACAAGCTTTTAGTTGAATTCAATTTCCTTTTTATTCTTGTATCAATCTTAGTTTATATAATTTATGACAACTTGTACATGCTCCCTTGAGTTCCACAGAACAAATGAAGGGCGATTTCAAAAATCATTAGTAATAATTTGCCTACAACTTTTTAGTAAACAAAAAATTGTAAGTTTAGTACAATTATTAATTAGGGATAAGGGCTAGCTTACTTGGTGAGTTTCCTGTCTTTCACAGTTGAGGTGGAACGTTCAAATCATATATGTAACACATATTATTCTCTTTCCGCCTTCCCTCATATCCTCTGATGTAATAAAAAAAAAAAGTACAGTTAAATTAGGGCATATATATCCTCAAATCTCTTTATTTCAACATGCCTTAACTAAAGTGCGTTGACCCTATTACTGAAACGATTAAATTGGATGTTCTTCGAAATTAAAAATTAATTGAAAAAAAAATTGGTTAGCCCAAGAAAATCATTTTACCTTTGTCTCTGCAAATTCGCAATACCTTGTTAGGACAATTATTATCAACTTTTAGTAACACATTAGTTGATGCGTTTTTTTATGATTTTTAGTGTTCGTCATAGTGTTTAACAAACTACAAATCCTATAAGCAACGAAAATCATAAAGTCTATTGTTTCCACAACTGTCATTAATTACCTGGATTTCAATATTTCGTGATAAATGAAGCGAGGGTTCTAATTTTTTTAGTGAACTATTTTGGGTAAACTTTAATTAAACATAGGTCGAATTTTAAGGTTATTCACATTCTCTATTTTATTCGTGGATCAAATCTTTACCACGATAATGAAAATGATCGAAATATAAGAAAAGATAAAAGGATAGGAAAGAGAGACGCAGGTCCGTTTTGTCCAAGGAGAAAATAAGAAGTTGATTAGCTAAAGTTTGTTTATTATTCAGATTTTCTTCGTAATCCATTAAAATATTATTTACACGGTATTATAAAATTCATAATGATGGAATAATGCAGAAATAATTGCATATACTGAACTATATATGTCATTGTGCACTAAGTAGCCATTACTAACTACCATGATCAGCATTATCGATGAAAATACTATGTATCGTAATCGTAAAATTATAAATATTATGAATTTACATATTCCAAGGGAATGAGTGCAAATTAAGAAGTTAAATAAACAATTATTTGATATCTAAACAACAAACAAAAGGATTATCACAACCTATAGAAATAACAAGAGAGATCTTTGACAGATGGGAAAGTAAGTTAATAAATATATAAACTGCTTATTCGAGAACTTTGATTTCAACTTGGACGACCTTTACTGTTATCGACTGCCCATTTTCTTTCAACCCTACAGAAAACACCTTTGCTCCATTCGATCCCAATATCCTCTATCTGTTGTATTTTGCTCATGAATTGATATTTACCGAACCCTCGCATTTCACATGAATCCAAAGCATGTTGATTGTTACCAACTCAATGTGCATACCACTTTTCCCTGACTTATGCCACTTTGATGTGCTAGCCAAATTCATTTCGTGCAATTGGAAAGATGGTAGCAAATTTCGAAGTCATTTCTCACTTGTTCTGGCAAAACAGACTCAAGAAGGGACTCAAACAAAACAAGAGGAACAAAATAAGGGACGAGGGAAAGAGATGATACCTAATAAAAAAATTACAAAGTAGAAACTTATCAGATATGGATACCAACTCCAATGACCATGATATGCACCTTTGGATTAAGTGGCTAATCTCTCAAGCAAATCTAATATTCAACTCTTGTTGTACCTCTTCGCTGTGAAACTAGGCTTCAGCGCTTCAATTGTCCCATCTAATCCACAATCATCAGTCGACTTGTAGTGCCCTGAAGGATTTTCACCATCAAGCCTCTTTCATTTTGCTCTTTTTTTCAACTCACCGTCGCCTTACGGTGCCCATGAGGGTTTTCACCGATAAGACTCTCTCATTTTATCATTTTCTCTCTTTGTGCTGAGAATAAGGTATCACCCACGATGTAGGAAGATCATACCTTCACCACACACTTGATTTGGCATCCTCAAAGATTGGTCAGAAGGTCTTTTTTGGACCGTAATGTAGGCTTTTGGACAATTTTGGAAAGAAATGGTGGCATGAAGGCTCAAAATAATTTAAGATGAAAGGTTTCAAAATTACAACTTTTGGAATCAGGCCTTTTGGCAAAATTAAAACTTCTGCCCCAGTTTCTTGGAGTTTAAGGAAATTTTTTTTTTGCTTTTTTTACTTTTTTTTTTTTGCTTTTTGCTTTTTGCTTTTTTTTCTTTTTGGATTTTTGCTTTGATGGGATTTCTAAGAAAATCTGCCCCACTCTTGACTTCGGGGATTATGAAATATTTTATTTAGTGTGACCGAACTGTAAGGCTGCCTACGTATCTTGTGGTGACAAGAATCAAGTCGAACGTAATTCAAACACAGAGTTGTTTTTTTTTCTTTTCCTTTTCTTTCTTTTTCTTTTTTTCTTCTTTTTTTTTTTACTTTTTTTCTTCTTTTTTTCCTTTATTTTTCTTCTTTTCTCTTCTTCTTTTTTCTTTTCTAGTTCCTAACTCTGCTTCTGATTCCAAAAGAGGGGTATGAAACAAAATGAATTAAGGCTCAAAAGGGGTAGCAAAAGATAAAAGTATTTGGGTAGAAAAATAAAATGCCCTCGTCATACCAAACTTTAAGAATGTCAAGTACAAACATGAAATCCAAGATAAGCAAAGAAAGCATACATAGCATCTGTTAATGGCATCAACACAAACAAAAAGTGTCAATGGACAATACCTTTGTCCCAATGAATGACTCTTTCCAGTTCGAAACAGACTTGACTCAACCTTATCTTGATATGGAAGAATGCATTTCAGCACTGACTAATCTACCTCAAACTGCTTGAGAGATATTTCCTTGTTGTATTCTCTTATCAACCTCTTGATTTCCCAGACTAACTGCCCTAGTTTCACTCAATTCAAGCTTCAAGTTATCAATCTTTACTTGTTTCCTCAAATGCATCCTTTTATCATATTGAAAATTGTATCATTGCTTATACTAACTTTCAAGACCATGCCGAGAATTATGCGTGCATGTCATGTCACTAGAGTCAGGATGAAAAGAACTATAAAAGGAAAAATGACCTAAACAAAAACTTAACAGAAAACATGAGATTGCATTAAACAGATGGTGAAAAGGGATTGAACAAAACAAGCAAAATAGACATGGGTTACAACCCTAGAACAATCCTAAATAACACTAGACGAGTTACTACAACTAAACGAAC